GATCTTCTGAGGTCCCTTCCAGCCCTAATGTCTATGAATCACATCACGGTTCCTGACCAGTGATGCTACTGCACAGTAACAGCAAGCTACTGCACAGTAAGCGTATGGTCTTGCATCGTGACCTTATGACATTGAAAAATGCTTAATGGCTGATTCTATTAAACAATTCTTCTGTTTTAGTTCGTCTGTAACAGAACTCTCAAGTTACTTGCATCAACTCTGATGTACTGTATTTATACATGATACTGAAATTATAAAGCTTGCCATTTCTCTTTGGGATCTCTCTCAAATTTGTTTACCCATTTTGTAAACGAATTGGGTATCTGTAATTTACCATGCATTTCTTTAGAGAGATTCCTTATAGATTTTTTGCAAACACACTCAATTTACTTCTCTGAATATTCAGTGACCATTCCAAAAACTAAGATTAGGTGATTACTCTGTATGCTACTAGCCTTGTTAGTCCCAAACAATTCAACTCCAGCTTTTTAATTGTTTTGAGTTTTACATAAATTAGCATGCAAGACCTAGAAGTTGCAGGGAGAAAACTACTGTTGTCAGCTGTCCTATTCTGAATGAACAGAGATGTTGTTAACTGTTCTATCTTGCCTTTAACTGCGAATAGTCCTAATCAGTCAAGCTATTCTGTTCCCCTAACTCAGAAGCATCTATGATATTGCTTCACAGAATTTAATATTGCTAGAAAGAAGGAGGACTTCTAGCAAACAAAAAATATACTCATGGCCACTCAACTCAATAGAAAAATCTGAAAGTTTTAGGGTTTCTTTTACCTGTTCTCCTACAGAGCCATCAGGAACCAGATGAACTGGCTGCTCATTCTCCAGGTTCCTAGCACTGGGATCAGCTCCCTTTCTCATCAGCAGACGAACTGCATCTAACTGGGTCATCCGATATTGCAGGCTGGCAGCCACATGAAGCGCTGTGTTGCCATTGTACGCCTAGTGAAAACAAGGGAACAATGCCATTAAAGATAGCAAAATTTAGGAATAGTGGCACAAGGATGATATCACTCATTCAAAAGGGGTCTACACTACTTTGCATTCATGAAAGACACCGTACCTTTGCATTAACAAAAGACAGGCTGTTGGGCAGCTCCAGAAAGAGACGAATAAGCTCCACATTGGCTTCTTCTGCTGCCAGGTGCAGAGCTGAGCGACCACTCTTACGATCCTAGCCAAAACAAAAAACAAAAAAAGTTTCTGCATTGCAACACTGGAAGTCTGGTGGATTCGCTTCCTGAGTAGAACACTCATTGCCTTTTAAAATAAAGTAGAAGAATAATATCAGAGTATCCTCAAGGGGAGTGGGAGAAGGAAGAGTAAGGGGATCACTACCTTCACTACTACACTTGTACTATAATTCACTGATCTTTGAAATCAAAGTAAAAAAGGTAATTTTTTTTTTTAAACTATTCTGGTCTCATGTGTGATGGCCCAGATCCTCAGTGGATATTGAATTGTTCAAGTTCTCAAGAAGGCAGTGGACAGTTTAGACCTAACTACCTAGCCCAGTAATCACTCAAACCAGATATGGGATTTAATTATAATCCAAATTCCAAACCCCCAGGAAAAACACCAGGGCAGCATTTTCTACAGGCTGCTTCTAAATACTTACAATGAAGTGGAACACATTTATTACCAGCCCAGCTAACATTACATTTGTCCAAAAATTAAGCTGTCACTTTCTTCTCTTAGCCATTTACTAAAAAGAGACCCTGCTGATCTGAATAAATGCAGCATTCTCATTCCAATCAGACAAATGAAGAAGTCTTAAAGTACTTGAAAGTATTTATTAACTCCCTTTCATTTATAATAAGCAATTTGCCCTCTGCCTCAGGTGACACCCAGCACCCAGTTATTTCAGAATTGCTACTCTAACTTACTTTTGCTTCAACAGAAGCTCCCATTTCGATCAGAGTCTTGATGGTGTCTACCAGACTCTTGTTTCTCAACAGAAGTTCCTGAATCTCTGGGGAGTGAGGAGGCTGACGGTTCTGGAGTTCATGCACCACAGCATTGTGGGCTAGTACTGCACAGTGCAAAGCTGACAAACCTTGAAGTTAAGAACAATAAAATAAATAAATAAATAAATAAAAACAAGCAGTAAAGAACTATTTGATTGGCTGTCTTGCTTCATAGGGGCAGCTCAAACTTTTTCCCCTCCCAGGCTGCTCACCATCATAGTTTGTCGCCTCAAGGTCCATATACTGGCTATTTTCCAAGACTCCTTTCTGGATTGCCTGCAATAATGGGTACAAGGCACTTGTTAGTTCAAGCCAAAAAACATACTGGTAATGAAAGCTTTTATAACATTTTCCTATAATATAAAGTAAACTGCTCAGGTTTTTTTAATGTACAAGATTCTACAGCAACAGCCTATAATACCATTGATAGTCTTAGAGCAAACTGCTGTACATTAAATTGTTAAATAATGTACAACCCTGGGATATAGTCAGAACATCTCAGTGCGGGAGAAATGGGGATTGTTTTTATAGGGGATAGGGGCAAGGCAAAGAAAGGGCTCCAGAGTTCATCAAACCTCACCTGAAGGACCTGGGCATGCCCCTTCTCAGCACAAACATGCAGTGGCGTCCTGCCCCAGCAGTCAGTGGTGTTCACTTGAGCCCCTAGACCAACCAAGTCCTGTACAATGAGATGCTGGTTGGCAGCTACCGCCACCTGAAAGGCACTCTGCAAATACAGAAAAGAGGTTAAGTCATCTGTTATCTACCAGGAAATGACAACTAAAAATGCCCCAGATAAAATATTAATAAAACAATGTTTATGGATACAGACAATTCCCAGCACTGGTGAAGGGTTATCTATTGAACTGTTAAGTCAAGGCTGGCATTAGTATGCAGGCTAACCCTCAAGCTTAATATTAACAGGCATTCCACCAAGCTTTGCTCAAGGTCTGGAAGCATATAGCCTTCAGAAGCTTAAAATGCTGGGACACTGAGAACCTCACCTGGCCATTGTGTTCTTTAATATCCAGCATGTGCAGAGCAGCCATCTTTCTTGCAAGAACAAAGGAAAGAGCCCTCCGGCCCTGGGCAACAGCAATATGAAGGAACCTGCAGGGAAGGTCACAAGTACAAAATGACATGCTGTTTGAAAGAAGCTATTGTATTTTCAAAGGTGTAGCCACCCCTACTACGCAAAAAAGAGTCCCCTTCCATCCAAGCAACCCACCAAGAACCAACCAAAGCATTCCCCAACACTGCAGTTTAAATGAAAGATACTCACGTGTCACCATCTGAGTCTTTGGCAAGAAGCTGGTCCTGAGAGAGGTTGGCCAGCTTGTTTTCCTCCTGTTCCACCTGCCACTGAAAGAAGGACTTGCCCAGCTGTGCAGTGTTTCTGATACCCGTGTGCTGTAGAGAAACATTCAGAGTAGCCAAAGATGTACCATTTCCACCAAGAGTACCACAGATATTACTTGGTGCCAGGCTGAAGTTCTGAGCATGGGTGCTAATGTCAGGTTGCTCATGGGCATTTGCAAGAGGCTGCAGCGGAAAAGTCATATTCTCTGAGCCTTCAGAACCATTCAAGAGAGATGAGAAACTCTGGGTTGGGCAATACCGCAGTTCACGACTTTCAAAAGCATTTTGCTGGTAGGCCAGAGACTGGACTTTGCCAGAAAGTGGCCTGTATTCCAGTGAAGGATCTTGAGTATAATTCTGTGACAAATCCTGGGCCCGTGAGGGAGCAAACTGGTAGTTCTGGGGAGCATCCAACATCTGTTGGGAACTGCTGTCTTGAAATGTTTGATACTTCTGGGGTGGAGAGAAAGCCTGTGTTCCTGAACTGTCTTGATAGTGCTCTCCAGGTGAGTTATGGTTAGAAATAGAGTGCAGCCAGCTAACTTGCACTGTGTTCAGAGAAACTGGACTTGACTCATTCTTAATATTGATAATGTTCTGAAGCAGGTCAGTATTGCTATCGTGCTTTGATTCATTTTTGTGTGCATCCTCCATGTTATCAATAGAGGTTGGTGTCTGTGGCGGTGTCTGCAAAAAATTAAAATAAACAAAAAAAATTAGAGGAATTATTCAGTGGCTGGTTCCTTGCAACACCAGCCTTATGAAACAATTATTTTTTTAAACAATAAAAGAGAGAGACAGAAAAATTTACCAGGAGATGAGGGTGGGCACTGGCTGGCCGTTTGTAAGCAGGTCCATCACAGAGGGGCTCAGAAGCCTTTCTTTTGCTACTGTGAGCTAGCAAGTTCTTCAACTCTGTTGAGGAAATTTACAAGCAGTTTTTAGACTTGGCAAATATTCTTTAAAAAAATTAGTATGTTTATATTTATATTACACAGGGACATGCAGAAAGTTTAAAATTTTGTACCTGTATACTGATCATAGTTCAGTAACCCTTCTTGTGCCTATTTAAAAACAAAAACAAGCAAAATTATTCTAGAAAAACTGAAAGCAATTAAAAAAAAAAAAA